ATTTTCATTAAAACCTTTAAGAAATCTTAATTAGTTAAAAGCTACCCCCATGAGGCTATACGAGAGGCCTTTAATATATTATTTTAGTGACATTTCCAGTTTCTGGTTGTATGACATTGGTTAAGCTTCTGAAAAATCAAATAAATAGACAAACTTTCCTATTAATCAAGTAATCTCATTAATTATCCTTTTCATTTAATCAACAAATATCATCCAGTCCTTATTAGCCCAGTGAAAGATCTTTTAATTCAGTAGTCTTACCTCAGGTATGCACCATATATGAAGAACAATCCCATCATCAGTCCATTTAAAATAAAAATCACACCAACATAAAAGCAAGCAGGGTCTCCCAATCCTTTGAAAAGACACAGATTACTCAGTATTTAATGAATAAATGACTATAAAGCAATTGGGCATAATTATCTCAGTGCTCCGTAATCAAGAGCTCATGAATTTGCTGAAAGCATTTGCTTTCCAGATTGCTACTCTCTTCAATAGTTGCATTAATACTTTACCTTCATACGAGCTATTATTTAGTTACGCTTATACCTTCCCGTACTTAAGTGTTATACTGTAATGATTCGTTAGAGCTTCACATTTCTTTAAGTGATACTGTAAGATGATCCAGTTACTTGATCCATTATTACGAACAGTTGGAATCTTAATATATCCCATCTATAAGATTGTGTGTATATCTGTGTGTATAACACTTACTACGTGCTCCACAATCATAATGTCACATAATTCTCAGAACAAATGTATGAGATTAGTTGGTACAAAAATACTTTTTTTTATGGTTGGGAAAACAGAACATAGAAACTTAAGTAACTTGCCAAAAGTTATTTAGCTCTAGCTGGTTGGAGCCAAGGTCTGAAGACTGGCCTGTCTGATTCCTTCTACTTCTCTGACTGCTCCTTTCAGTCTGTTCTAAGAACTTCTCTTGTTTTATTCACCCCTCTTCAATGCTGGACCTCATCAGGCTCAGTCACATGCCCTCTTCTTCTCTTAGTCTGAATATTCTCCTTAAAGAAACTCTTCCACTTCCATGGCTCCAATTATCTTCTAGATACTGATGATTCCAAGTCTCTACTCAGCCCAGAACTTTCTTCTTATTCCTATACTTACATATATCCAGGTAGCCACCTGACATCTCAACTTGAGATCTCTCAGGTACCTCAAAGTGTGAAATGTAGCAATTCAAACCTGCTACTTTTCAAATGTGTCCTGTCATTCAAAGGGACTCAATTACTTGAGCCAGGAACCAAGCTCTGTTACATAACTCTCCACTCTCCTTCCCCTCTCCCATTTAACAATTACCAAGTCTCGTCAATTCTATTTCCAAAATACCTCAAATCCAGACACTTTCCAGTGATCTTTCCTGCAATCACTCGCTGAGAATAATAGCCTCAACCTGGCCTCAATAAACCCGCTTTTGTCCTTTACGAATATCCTTTCCATACAACTGCCAAAATAATATTTTTTAAGATGCAAATCTGTTAAAATTCTTCAATGAATAAAATATAAAATCCTTAACCACTCTATGGCTCTGCATGATCTGACGCTTGCTCACATTCCCAGCACCATTTTGCACCATTTTTCTTCTCCATCTCTCTGCTCCAGGAATTCTAGTCTTCCTTTAGTTCCCTCTTGACATAGGACTTTTGAGTATGCTGGCCCCTATTCTCAAACACTTCTCCTTTCTTACTCCTGACCTCAGTAACCTCATTTTCTTATGTGCAGTACCCATCACAGTTGTAACTGCTAACAACACTCTCAAAGCATCACCTCTAGGAGGGGAAGGCCCCACGCCTACCTGGGACATGTCTGTGTCCCAGGGCCAAACACTAACCTATTGCTTATTGGGAACGTAATACCATATGTGTCCACATAGAAGGTGATATATTTCATCCCTCAGAAAAGGTTATATCTTCTAGCTGACTGAGACATTACAAAGTTTCTTATTTTATAATGCATTTTCTCCATTCCTTTTACATTATACAAAAATGTATAACTGATCTTCAAATATCCTCTACCAATGCTATTTTAGATGACATAAACATCACCTGAAGGAATCAGTAAATATGTAAGGGAAACACAGATTTACTTTATATTCTAAGAGTTCAATGTTATTATAAACAAGTCAGTAAAAATACATTCATAAAATATAGTAAGTAGTCATGCTGTAGAGAATCTGAGAAAATAAAGAAAAAACAAGTGTGTAAATTTCATGCAAGTAGATGTACGTGGCTTTAAATAAGAGTCTCAAGGGACAG